TCCCTCTCCTGCCTGGACCACCCTCTGCTGTTCCCTCTCCTGCCTCGACCACCCTCTGCTGTTCCCTCCTGCCTGGACCACCTCTGCTGTTCCCCCTCCTGCCTGGACCACCCTCTGCTGTTCTCTCTCCTGCCTGGACCACCCTCTGCTGTTCCCTCCTGCCTGGACCACCTCTGCTGTTCCCTCTCCTGCCTGGACCACCCTCTGCTGTTCCTCTCCTGCCTGGACCACCCTCTGCTGTTCCCTCCTGCCTGGACCACCCTGTGCTGTTCCCTCTCCTGCCTGGACCACCCTCTGCTGTTCCCTCCTGCCTGGACCACCCTCTGCTGTTCCCTCTCCTGCCTGGACCACCCTCTGCTGTTCCCTCTCCTGCCTGGACCACCCTCTGCTGTTCCCTCTCCTGCCTGGACCACCTCTGCTGTTCCCTCTCCTGCCTGGACCACCCTCTGCTGTTCCCTCTCCTGCCTGGACCACCTCTGCTGTTCCCTCTCCTGCCTGGACCACCCTCTGCTGTTCCCTCTCCTGCCTGGACACCCTCTGCTGTTCCCTCTCCTGCCTGGACCACCCTCTGCTGTTCCCTCTCATGCCTGGACCACCTCTGCTGTTCCCCCTCCTGCCTGGACCACCCTCTGCTGTTCCCTCTCCTGCCTGGACCACCCTCTGCTGTTCTCTCTCCTGCCTGGACCACCCTCTGCTGTTCCCTCTCCTGCCTCGACCACCTCTGCTGTTCCCTCTCCTGCTGGACCACCCTCTGCTGTTCCCTCTCCTGCTGGACCACCCTCTGCTGTTCCCTCTCCTGCCTGGACCACCCTCTGCCGTTCCCTCTCCTGCCTGGACCACCTCTGCCGTTCCCTCTCCTGCCTGGACCACCCTCTGCCTTTCCCTCTCCTGCCTGGACCACCCTCTGCTGTTCCCTCTCCTGCCTGGACCACCTCTGCTGTACCCTCTCCTGCCTGGACCACCTCTGCTGTTCCCTCTCCTGCCTGGACCACCCTCTGCTGTTCCCTCTCCTGCCTGGACCACCTCTGCTGTTCCCTCTCCTGCCTGGACCACCCTCTGCTGTTCCCTCTCCTGCCTGGACCACCCTCTGCTGTTCCCTCTCATGCCTGGACCACCTCTGCTGTTCCCCCTCCTGCCTGGACCACCCTCTGCTGTTCCCTCTCCTGCCTGGACCACCCTCTGCTGTTCTCTCTCCTGCCTGGACCACCCTCTGCTGTTCCCTCTCATGCCTGGACCACCTCTGCTGTTCCCCCTCCTGCCTGGACCACCTCTGCTGTTCCCTCTCCTGCCTCGACCACCCTCTGCTGTTCTCTCTCCTGCCTGGACCACCCTCTGCTGTTCCCTCTCCTGCCTCGACCACCTCTGCTGTTCCCTCTCCTGCTGGACCACCCTCTGCTGTTCCCTCTCATGCCTGGACCACCTCTGCTGTTCCCCCTCCTGCCTGGACCACCCTCTGCTGTTCCCTCTCCTGCCTGGACCACCCTCTGCTGTTCTCTCTCCTGCCTGGACCACCCTCTGCTGTTCCCTCTCATGCCTGGACCACCTCTGCTGTTCCCCCTCCTGCCTGGACCACCCTCTGCTGTTCCCTCTCCTGCTGGACCACCCTCTGCTGTTCCCTCTCCTGCCTGGACCACCCTCTGCTGTTCTCTCTCCTGCCTGGACCACCCTCTGCTGTTCCCTCTCCTGCCTCGACCACCTCTGCTGTTCCCTCTCCTGCTGGACCACCCTCTGCTGTTCCCTCTCCTGCCTGGACCACCCTCTGCTGTTCCCTCTCCTGCCTCGACCACCCTCTGCTGTTCCCTCTCCTGCCTCGACCACCCTCTGCTGTTCCCTCTCCTGCTGGACCACCCTCTGCTGTTCCCTCTCCTGCCTGGACCACCCTCTGCCGTTCCCTCTCCTGCCTGGACCACCTCTGCCGTTCCCTCTCCTGCCTGGACCACCCTCTGCCTTTCCCTCTCCTGCCTGGACCACCCTCTGCTGTTCCCTCTCCTGCCTGGACCACCCTCTGCTCTTTGCTCTCGTGCTTGGGCCATCCTGACCAGAACCGGGGGTGCCGGCTGAAAGGTCACCTCGTCCCCAGACTGGACCCGGCGAGGGCGGGCCGGGGCTCGTTCCATGACCGCGCGGGGTCCTTCGGGGTTTCTGAAGTCTGCACCTTCCAATTGGCACCTTGTCCTCGCCCCCCAACCCCCGCAGCTGCGCGGTGACCTCCTCCCTGGGCGGGTGTCCCCTCCGGCCCCTCCCCCGTGCAGCCGCAAAGATAAAACCACCCCCACCTCTTGCCGGTTGCCCCGTCATGGAAAGCGTCTAATGAAATAGGAAAACCGGCGCAGTTGCGGCCAGGCCGGCAGGCAGGGCCCCCCACCGTCACAGGTGCACCTCTGGGGCGGCTCCGGCCCCCCGGGCCTTGGACAGAGGAGTCTCAGGTGTGCTCGGGCGGGCGCGCCCCTGTGGCTGCGGGGAAGCCAGGGCCCAGGTGCCCCTTGTCCTCAGGCTGTTCCCTGGGCGTCCTGTTGAGTCTCCCTCACCCCAGGCTGCGGGACCGGCCCTCCCACACAGCCCGCCCGCAGCGCCGCCTCCTCGCGGCACCCCCATCCTGTGGGTTGAAGCAGCTCCAGGGCGGCTGTGGGGGGAGCTGGGCCGGCGCTGGACACAGGCAAAGGGCGCGGGTGCGGGGGACGGGGGACCCGAGCAGCTGCTCCCCGGGACACTGGAGGGAGCACCCGAGCTGGCATGGCCGGAGCCCGCGTCCCCCAAGCGCAGCTGGGGCTGCTGCTGCCTTCCCGGGCCGGCACGTCTCTGAGCCAGACTCGCCCCCCACGGCCTCCGCCCTCTGCTCCCTGAACCCCTGCGGGACCCGGCGCTGCGGCCCTGGCGGGGCGGGCGGTCAGGGCGCTGCCCTTTGTCAGCCTCGCCAGCCGGGCGCGCCCCGTCCGCCCCTTCGCTGCACGGAGATGCCAGCGCGGGCCCCTGGACACTGGGGGAGGGTCCTGCCATGTCCACCCCCGCCCGCGGGCTGCCTGGACGGGAAGCGTCTCCCCCTTGTTGGTGTAAACTCGTGGACGCAGAGTCCGGCAAGTCTCCTTCCCCCCGAGGGGCGCGTCAGAGTCAGCGGCCAGGGACACCGCAAGGGAGGCTCAGCCGTGGCCGCAGCCCCTGGACACCGGCCTGGGCTGTGGCATCAGGTCCTGGCGCCCCAAATAGTAGCCTCGAGCCGGGACCTGCGGGCTGCGGGCGGGCAGCGATCTCCCCAGCCTGGACGCCGGCGCTGGCAGCCAGTGGACCCTGCTGATGTGGGGCGGTGCTGGGGACCTGGTGCTGGGCCAGAACGGGGCGCGGATCAGGGCAGGACGTGAGCCGGACAGTGGACACCGGAAGGACCCGTGGGGCCTGGGGGGGGCGCTGAGCCCTGACACCTAACCTCTGCGTGCGGCTAGGCCGCCCCTCGCTGGCGGACCCCCACTACCCGCCTCCCCGCCCAGACCCGCGTGTCCATGCGGGCGCCTCCTGCTCTCACTGCCCTCCCTGCCGGAACGCCGGCGCCTACCTGGGTGGGGCTCGCTCGGCCACGCGGCTCCCTCCTCCCGTAGCCGGTCTGCGAGTGGGGGGCCTGGCGTGCAGGGCCTGGCGTGCAGGGCGGAGGGCAGCCCCCAGGCTCAGGGCCACGCTGGCCGTGGCGGGAGCTGCCCGCGTCTCCTTCTCCCTCCGCGTCTGGCCCCGCGGCCCGCAGGAGCCACTTAACCTGGTCCCACACCCCCCCCAGCCCCCGCCCCGGTCCTGTGGGGCCCGCGGAGGAGCCGTCCCCAGTGTCCTGCTGCAGGCAGAGCCGGACGGTCCCTGGGGCCGCCGGGGCTTCCAGGGCCACAGGGGGGCCAGAGGCCTCGCCCAGCAGCAGCCCGGGCCGGGCCCGCGGACAGCAGGGACACCCCAGGCCGCCGCGCCCGTTCCCGTCTCTGCCTCTGGGCGCACGTGGACGTTCGTAGTGTGTCTCGGGCCCAGCGCTGCCCGCTCTGCTGCCTGCCCGCCCGCGCCTGGACGGCGCCTGGAGGGCCCACCCCGCAGGGGCAGCCCAGCCCCAGGGCAGCTCCTTTTCATTTAGAATCAGACAGAAAATACAAAGACCAAAGAAGCAAACGGGGTGCGCGCGTGTGGGGGACGCACCGCCCGCTCTGGCCACACCCCGGTGTCCGCCTGGGCTCGCGCCGTGGCAGCACGCGGAGCCCTCACGCCAGCACTGCGCCCGGGTCTCCCTGTGCCCGCGGGAGAGGCCCAGAGCAGGCGCAGTGGAGGAGCCGCAGGCAGAGCGGGGGGAGCCGAGGCGGCCCCCAGGCCCCCGCGCCCTGGCCTGGAGTTTGGGGTGTGTGTCCGCAGAACAATGACGGCCGAGCCCCTGGGGACGTTCCTAGGTTCGTCTTTAAATCATTTAATTGAACTGAGTAAGATTTCCTCTCAAGCGTTACATCGTCGCTTGCACACGTCTCAGGGCTCCCTGGGGTGCTTCTCCTGGGAACACAGTTTCTCCAGACTTCGGGGTCCGGGGCCTCCAGGGCGCAGGGGTCAGTCTCAGCGCTAAGGAGCTGTCACAGCCACCGCGGCCCGAGTCTGCCCCGGCCAGCGGGGACCCACCCGGCGCAGCAGGCCTCTCCTGGCTCCCGCCGTACCCCGCAGCGGGTTTCGGTCCGTGTGCTGGGCCCGGCTCCGTCGGGGCCGAGCGCGAGCAGGGCAGGCCGAGCCGGGGGGAGACTCGCGGAAGAAGCGGTTGAGGACGTCGGGGCCGCGGTAGGACAGGCTGGCGATGCGGGCGTCCTCATGAGCGACTCCAGCAGGGCACCCAGCCAGGAGGCCCCTCTGCTGTTCCTTCTTCTGTGCCTGGGGAGTCCTCTCACCCCCGCGCCTCTGGCCTGCACCCGGCTCTTGTACGCGCACATAAATAAACCTTTTTAAAAACAATAACAAAGCACCGGTAACTCGCGGTCCGGTGCCCAGGCCGCCGGCCAGCCTCAGGGCCAGCGCAGGGTCTTGCGGAAAGCCGCCTGGACCTCCTTGTTGCGCAGGCAGTAGATGATGGGGTTGAACATGGGCGTGACCACGGTGTAGGTGACGGACAGTATCTTGTTGAGGTCCATGGCTTCGATGCGGCTGGGGCGGGCGTAGATGAAGATGGTGGCCGAGTAGAAGATGCCCACGACCGCCAGGTGGGAGGCGCAGGTGGACAGGGCCTTACGGCGGGCGGCGGCCGAGGGCATGCGCAGCACGGCTCTGCCGATGGCCACGTAGGAGGCCAGGGCCACGAGGAGGGAGCCCCAGAGGATGACGATGGCCGAGATGAAGTCCACCAGCTCTGTCAAGGCCACGTGGGTGCAGGACAGGTTGAGCAGGGGGGAGACGTCACAGAAGAAGTGGTTGAGGACGTTGGGGCCGCAGTAGGACAGGCTGGCGATGCAGGCCGTCTTGATGATGGACACCAGCAGTGCACCCAGCCAGGAGGCCAGCGCCAGGGCCAGGCAGACCCGGGGCCGCATGAGCAGCGGGTAGTGCAGGGGCCGGCAGATGGCCACGTAGCGGTCGTAGGCCATGGAGGCCAGGAGCGTGCACTCCGTGCAGATGAGGGAGATGAAGAAGAAGAGCTGGGTCATGCAGGCCGTGAAGGGCACGTGGTAGGGCCCGGCCCACAGCCCCGCGAGCAGGGTGGGCATGGTCACCGACACGTAGCACATCTCCAGGCAGCTGAGGTTGCCCAGGAAGAAGTACATGGGCTTCCGGAGCTCGCTGTGGCTGCGGATGAGGTGCACGATGAGCGTGTTCTCCAGCAGGGTCAGCAGGTAGAGCGAGAGGAAGAGCAGGAACAGCGCCTGCCTCACGCCCAGTCTGGTGGACAAGCCCAGCAGGATGAACTCCTGGACCCTGGTCACGTTGGCCGCCCCCGGCGCCCGCGCCATCTGCGGACAGACACGGAGGACTTTGCAGGTCTCTCCACCTGGCCCCAGCTTCATCCCAGCCACGGCCTCCCCTGAGCCGTGAAAGAACCTCTCTCTGCTCCCCGCTTCGTTCTTGCGCAGGGACACCCCCATGTACAGTTCGTGGGGCTCTCAGAACCGTACATGCACACTCTGCTGGTCCCTCTCCTGCCCGACCACCAGGCTGTTCCCTCCTGCCTGGACCACCTCTGCTGTTCCCTCTCCTGCCTGGACCACCTTCCCTCTCCTGCCTGGACCACCTCTGCTGTTCCCTCTCCTGCCTGGACCACCCTCTGCTGTTCCCTCTCCTGCCTGGACCACCCTCTGCTGTTCCCTCTCCTGCCTGGACCACCTCTGCTGTTCCCTCTCCTGCCTCAACCACCCTCTGCTGTTCCCTCCTGCCTGGACCACCTCTGCTGTTCCCCCTCCTGCCTCAACCACCCTCTGCTGTTCCCTCCTGCCTGGACCACCTCTGCTGTTCCCCCTCCTGCCTGGACCACCTCTGCTGTTCCCTCTCCTGCCTGGACCACCTCTGCTGTTCCCTCTCCTGCCTCGACCACCCTCTGCTGTTCCCTCCTGCCTGGACCACCTCTGCTGTTCCCTCTCCTGCCTGGACCACCCTCTGCTGTTCCCTCTCCTGCCTGGACCACCCTCTGCTGTTCCCTCCTGCCTGGACCACCCTCTGCTGTTCCCTCTCCTGCCTGGACCACCTCTGCTGTTCCCTCTCCTGCCTGGACCACCCTCTGCTGTTCCCTCTCCTGCCTCGACCACCCTCTGCTGTTCCCTCCTGCCTGGACCACCTCTGCTGTTCCCCCTCCTGCCTGGACCACCCTCTGCTGTTCTCTCTCCTGCCTGGACCACCCTCTGCTGTTCCCTCCTGCCTGGACCACCTCTGCTGTTCCCTCTCCTGCCTGGACCACCCTCTGCTGTTCCCTCTCCTGCCTGGACCACCCTCTGCTGTTCCCTCCTGCCTGGACCACCCTGTGCTGTTCCCTCTCCTGCCTGGACCACCCTCTGCTGTTCCCTCCTGCCTGGACCACCCTCTGCTGTTCCCTCTCCTGCCTGGACCACCCTCTGCTGTTCCCTCTCCTGCCTGGACCACCCTCTGGTGTTCCCTCTCCTGCCTCGACCACCCTCTGCTGTTCCCTCTCCTGCCTGGACCACCCTCTGCTGTTCCCTCTTCTGCCTGGACCACCTCTGCTGTTCCCTCTCCTGCCTGGACCACCCTCTGTTCCCAGTTCTGCCTGGACCACCCTCTGTTCCCAGTTCTGCCTGGACCACCTCTGCTGTTCCGTCTTTGTGGGTTCGCCAGATCTAAACGGTCACTCGAGCATCACCTCAACTATGCGCATCTGCCGTTCTGCGCGAGGTCGGAACAGCGCAGCGGGCGTCACAGGACCTTCGGGGTGCAGCCCCGCAGGCCCTACACGGCTCCTTTCCAGTTACACGGGAGCCAGACACTTTGGGCCGGGACAGCGGCTACCTCATGGGCCTGACCGAAACCGGGGGCACCGGCTGAGTGTGGCCGCGCCAGAGACTGGGCAGTGGGTGTCTTGTGCCCAGACTGGACCCGGTGGGGCTGGGGCTGCTTATGACCGCGTGGGGTCCAGCAGCAGAAATGCCCGGGGGGCGGACTCAGGACCCGAAGCCTCCCCGACGTCTGCACCTTCCTGTTCGCGCCTTGTCCTCGCCCCCCACCCCCGCAGCTGTGCGGTGACCTCCCCCCTGGGCGGGTGTCCCCTCCGGCCCCCCGTGCAGCCCCGAACGATACAGCCGCCCCCAGCTCTGCCCGGTTACCTTGTCGCGGAAAGTGTTTAATTAAATAGGAAAACTGGCAGAAGTTCCGCCCAGGCCGGCCGGCGGGGCCCCCCGCCGTCCCAGGGGCGCCTCTGGGGTGGCTCTGGCCTCTGTGCACTCGGAGGAGTCTTAGGTGTGCGGGCCGTGCTGGGCGCGGGCGGGTCCCCCTGTGTCTCGGGTGCGAAGCGTGGGGTGAGGCCGGAGCCGACAGCACAGACGCGTGTGTCTCTGGGGTCCCGGGGTCCGGCTGATGCCCGACGGGCCCTCGCGGGCTCCCTGTGCGTGTGCCCGTGCAGTGAGTGCCGCGGAGCCCGCTCGTCTCCCGCCCGCCCGCGCTCCTGCCCGCTCCGGCAGTTCGGGCCTGGCCAGCCGGGCCGTGCAGCTCCCGCGGCGCTCCGGGCCCAGCGTCCACCCGCACGGCGCTGGCGTCGGGGCTCGAGGTCACGGGCGGGCCCGGGGCTCGCAGCTCTCGTGCCCCGGGGGTGAGCCTCCCTGCTCGGGGTCCGCAGCCAGGACTGGGGCTGGGGCCGGCGAATCCTGCCGGGGCCGCCCGTCCCGCCCGCCCCAGAGCTCCGGAGAGGAGCAGCCGCCCGCAGCCCCAGCCCCAGGCGGGCGCTCAGCGCCGCGTCACCCCGGGAGCTCCTCAAAGGCGCCGCAGCTGGACGGTCCTGCTGGGCAGCTCTGGGCAGGGAGGGCAGGGCTGGAGGGCACGTCGGGGTTTGAGTCTCCCTCACCCCCGGCCGCCGGGCCATGCCTCCCCCGCAGCCCGCCCCGCAGCGCCTCCTCCTCGCGGTGCCCCCGGGTCCTGTGGGTTGAAGCAGCCCCGGGCAGCTGCGGGGGGAGCTAGGCCGGCGCCGGGCGCAGGAGGAGGATGTGGGTGCAGTGGGGGGACCCGGGCAGCTGCTCCCCAGGACAGTGGAGGGAGCCCCTGAGCCGGCATGGCCGGAGCCCACGTCCCCCCAAGTGCAGCTGGGGCCGCAGCGGGGCTGCCTTTGCGGGGCCGGCGCATGTCTGAGCCGGACGTGCCCCCACGGCCTCCACCCCTGACCCCCAGCGGGACCTGGCACGGCGGCCTCGGCGGCTCAGGCGGGCAGGGCGCTGCCCTTGGTCAGCCTCGCCAGCCGGTGGCTCCCCGTCCGCCCCGTCGGTGCGCAGAGAAGCCAGCACATGCCCGTGGACACTCAGGGACGCGGGTCCTGCCATGTCCGCCCCCGCCCACGGGCTGCCTGGACTGGGGCGAGTCCGAGCCGAGACAGTGGAGGCCACCGCTGCCCTCCTGCAGGGGACGCCCCCCCGCCCGCTGTCCTTCACCCCTGCAGAGCTCGCTCCTTCCCCGCCTGGCTCCTGCACCAGCCCTCGCCCCGACAGCAACAGGATGGCAGCCCCAAGGTGGGGTCCTGGTCCCAAAGCTGGCTCCCGCCCTGGGGAGGACCCATGTCCCGCTCAGCTGCCAGCCTAAGGGAGCCCCACACCCTGTACCCCGCGGCCTGTCCCCCCACATCCTTGCGGCCCGGGCTCCTGCGCGGTCAACCTCAGGCCAGGGGGCTGAGGACGCCTCCCCGCAGCAGCTCCCTCCCAGCAGCGGCCGCTGCTTTGATTCCAGGGTGGCCTGGAGCCCCCGGGGGTGACTCTGACATGTGGGGTGCTCAGCCCGGAGCCGGGGTGTCCCTGCCCCTTCTCAGGCGACTTGGGCGAGCCTGACGCGCTGGCCCTTGGCAACCTCTGGATACGCAGCATCCCCAGGTCTGGCCTCAGCAGGGGCTCCGCCGCCCTGGGGTGCAAGGAGATGGCGTCTTAGGGTGTCCCCCTGGCAGGAGCTTCTGCCTGTGCTGAGGCAAGATCGTGGCTGTGGCCCCCAGACACCGGCCTGGGCTGCCAGCAGCAGCTCCTGCCTCCACATCCTGTGCCCCAGAGGAGGAGTCGCCAGGTGGGCATCCAGAGGGTCTCCCCAGCCTGGACACCAGCGCTGGCCGCCCCCCGCTTCCCGCCTGGGCTGTACAGACCCGCGTGTCCAGTCTGAGGACGCCGGTGCTGCCTCCTGCTCTCACCGCCCCCCCGGCTGGCCGGCGGCGCCTCCCTGGGTGGCGCTCGCTCGGCCACACGGTCTCCTACCTCCCGTGGCTGGTCAGCAAGCGGCGGGCTGGGCGTCCAGGGTGGAGGGCGGCCCCCAGGCTCGGGAACCCGCTGGCCGTGGCGGGAGCTGCCCGAGTCTCCCTCGCTCTCCGCGTCTGGCCCCGCCGCCGGCAGGAGCCACTTAAGCCGAGCCCGGCACCCCCCATGGGACTGCGCAGAGGCGCCGTCCCCAGTGTCCTGCTGCAGGCAGAGCCGGACCGTCCCTGGGGCCGCTGGGGCTTCCACGGCCACAAGGGGGCCAGAGGCCTCGCCCGGCAGCAGCCCAGGCCAGGCCCATGGACAGCAGGGACACCCCAGCCTCCGCGCCCGTTCCCGGCCTCTGCCCTCTGGGCGCACGTGGCCATTCTTAGTGTGTCTCGGGCCCAGCGCCGCCCGCTCTGCTGCCCGCCCGCCCGCGCCTGGACGCCGGGCCTGGACGTTGGGTCCCGCCTGTGTTGCTGTCGGCTGGCCCTGGCCAGCCCTTCCTGTAGATGTGACGTCCTCGCCGTGCAGCAGCCGAAACACAGAGTCAAGCCGCCACCTTGGCCCCCCGCGCCCCCTGGCACACCCTCGAGGCTGTGCGGGCACCACCTCCTGCCCGAGCTCCTGGCCCTGTCCCGGCTGGGCTCGGCCCCCACAGCCCCTCCAGCCCGCAGGGCCTCGGCCAGCGTAATGAGCCTGGGGGCCGCCTCAGCTCTCCCGCCTCTGCCTGAGGCTCCTCCGCTGCGACTGCTCTGGGCCTCTGGGTTGGACCCAGGGAGACCCCGGGCGCAGGCCTGGGGTGGGGCTCCGCGTGCTGCCACGGCGTGAGAACCAGCCACTGGTGTGTGGCCAGAGCGGGTGACACGTCCCCACACGCGTGCACCTGTTTGCTGCTTTGGTCTTTTTTTATTTTCTGTCTGATCCTAAATAAAAACGACATGCCCTGGGGCTGGGCTGCCCCTGCGTGCTGGGCCCCCCGGGCTCCTCCGTGCTCTGGACGTGGCCTCTGCGTCTTCCTGTCCACCCCGCGCCACACGCGGGACGAGGCCCAGCAGGGGCTCCGGGACGCCCTCGCGCAAGGCCGACCCCCT